GGCGACTCAGAGCACGTATTTCATAATTCAAGCCAATTATGAAATAGAACGTGAATTTCGCTTGAGTAGCAATTTTCTATTCCGCGACAAATTAATTTCCCTGATTTATTCCACTTATGATATATCCAAGTCGACACAAAGTTGCAATTTGACTTTAAATTCTGTATTCCTAGTGTCTTAATTTCTTTTTAAACCAAAAAAATAGAATATTATAATAATTTGCATAGATTAAATTCTGTAATTCTGAAAGATACGTAAAATGGAATTTTTCAGAAGTAGTAAAAACACTTGCTGTTATGTTTCAATGGTTTAATTAACGATCGATAGATAGGGTTAATCCAAAGAATTGCCTAAAAGAACTAAATCGTCCGCGTAACCTGGAAAATCGAGTCGCAAGAGATACGCACTTGACATTCTCGTTCGAGATGACGTCAGTGAATTGGACAGGTCGACGATTCTAGTAGATGATAACAGACATCTGTCTTTCGTGGATTTGGTCGCGTTCGTTCGACAGGCTCCCGGAAGTGATAAAACAACAATATCGACGAAATTAAGTGACGTGATTATAACAGATTATCTGAGCAATGTCAAAAGGTGACTGGGGAGTGCTGGGACCTTCTATCACACTCAGACAGGATGTAACATTGAACTTAACTGGCTAACAACCTCCGGCCATATTCAATCTATAGACAAACTTTTGATCTTTCGATGTTTGAAATTGCAACGTCAGATCGCGATAAATAAGTAGTAGGTGTACGCGTGAAAGTATGCTTCGTGATTGACCCCATCGATTATTTGACGCCATATTCGTGTCAATCTCGTACGTTCGAAGTGACGTTCTTCTTTTTCTTTTTTCTCTGTTCATGTGTCAAAGGTAGGTGTACCTCTGACATTGTTGCACAGTTCTATAAATATCAAACTGAGTGGACGAGGAGAAACGATTGTCGTACCGTTTGTATCTGCACGTGCAACAAAGTGGAGTTTAACACCTCGCTCACGCGTGACGCGTTTGTAGTTAAACACTTGCTGCATTTTTCTCGTTAACAAAAAATGATACGCGTGTGGGTACGCTAAGTATGACAAATGACGAGGGGCCAGCTTCATAAGCGATTTGCACGGGACATTTGCAGAAGCGACGAACGGTGCGATCTTGCAATGAAAGATGGTCCGTCGTCCGATCGGAACGTGGAAAGCTGATTTTCGACACAGATCTTTCGAGGGAAATGTGGTAAATTGTTTAGAGAAATATAAATAATAGTAGAATATGAATGAACGTATTGTACGAATTGGAGATTGAAGATTTTCATAATAAATAGAAAAATTATATAAAATTCATTGAAACGTGAATACATTGAATTCGTTTGGCATTGCAGCCTTCATTTATTACCGATTTCAACTTCATTTCACTTCTTTTAATCCTAAATATAGTATAAAATACGTATACATTGCTGGTCAAAAGATTGGAATAATCCCTCGTTGCGAAGAATATTTCGGAAAGCTTTGCAATACCAAAATCTGTCGCAGTAATTAGCAACTACCCTACCAATCCTTAATTAGTAAAAAAAATTCAAGGAAAATTTCTCGTTCCAAGCTTTCGTCCAGCACTGTACATTTCTCGATAAATTGTTCCAGTACAAACGTTCCAAACAAACCCGTAAAAGTGATAATACTAAGAACACAGTGGACGTGTGCAATTTATTCGTACGATCGTAACAATCAAATTCACACGAACGAGCGTATAAAGACACAAAGAGGTCTCCAAACTGTCGAGAAGTCGAAACATTTTTTTTCGCACGCAAGCTCGATAAATACTCGTTAACTGACGCGGTGTGAAGTCACGACGAAAGAGAGCTTTTTTCCCCCGGAAAAATGACTGGCGAACAGCCGGATTAGCCCTGGCTATGCTCTCGTAAAACTCGATTTTCGCGCGAATCCACCGTTCTTCCGGCGTTGGTGGGTTTATCCCACCACTCTTTCATCCTTTTTTTATTTTTCTGTCTCTTTCGTCTTTGTTTTGCTTTCATTTTTGTTCAGAATGCAAGAGAGGATCAGTGCTATCGCTTCCGTTGATCGTAAAGCCATGATTTAACAAGCCGTGAAAACTTGTCGACGTAAATTCATCGCGGGCGAACGAGCAGCGAAACTGGACGGAGAGAGGTCCAGAATCGAATTTTTTTCCATCTACGCGGAACAGTTCCAACGCCACACGACCACTTCCGCTCGTTATATTTTACTCCTGTTTTGTTTCGTCATTTTTTTTCCAATTTCTTCTTCTTTTTTATTTCTTTATTTTTTTTTATAAACTTTACGCCACTTGTGGCAATCGTTTAACGGGAGCACGCTTTTTTCAGCCCCAGCGTTTTTATGGAGATATATGGACGCGAGGGTCTCTTTTATTGGGCCTGAGAGAGAAGTATTATTCTCCCTTTTTCGTTTAATTCATTCGGTAGCCCCGAATCCCTTTTTCAGGTGAAATTACGGGGGATGATACGGCTCTCGCAGAGGAACAGTGGTAGAATTTTGAATAGGTTAAAAGTTTCTATCGAAAAGTTTGTTATGCAAAGAGGCAAACGAAACTGTGATACCTATATATCCGGCGAATGAAAATAATCGGCAATCGTGGCGTTTTTATTGCTGCAAAGTTGTGTGTGAAATAAAAAAAAATATCGTAACTTTGAAAAATTGCTTCACTGGAAATTCTTCGGAATAAAAGAAGAAGTATAAAAAGTGTCCGTTGAAAATTTTGACGCAATAACACATGCAGGCAGCGAGTGTATATAAATCGAAAATAAAGTTTACCCTCAACATTTTCAGTTTTCTATCGTCTATTTTCGAATCGGAAGATTACAAAAATATCGAAAACTGTGCACGTTACGACCACGCCTGGAAGATTCAAAGAGGACCCAGGTCATGTTTATTTTCACACGAGGAACTTCCGTTTTCCGTCGTCTGGCCGGCCAGAAATTGCAATAACGCGTTCTCCAGGGCCTGGTCTTACGTTACCGCCGGATCCGATTTAAAGTCAATATTTGACAAAGGGAATTACATTTGTCCAATCGACGGATCTTAAACACCACCGTTTGCTGACGTTTATCATAGCCAACGATATCGTGTGCGATAATGTTACACGTGGACTGGTGGTGGAACGCGTGTCAGCCTTCATGTGTCGTTTGCTCTTGCAATTAGTCGGTAAAATTTACACGTGCCAGGGTGCAGCGAGTTTCGTTGGAAAGCAATGGTAATTCAACGGCGTGGACGATGTGTTATTAAAAGTGAAATACTAATATCGCCACCTCTAATCAGATGTGCTAGTTCCACACGGTACGAATTAAATATAAAACCTTGAAATAAAGGAACACGACCTTATTTCTATGGAGTTATGTATAACACCGATGCTATTTGCAGATTCTGCAGATTCTGCAGATTATTTCGTGTGCATTCACCTAATTAACGAAGAAGTCGACGTTTATGTTTGGTTGAAACGAAAACGTGAACTCATCGTGAATGTTTTAAATATTTCTGAATTTTTATTTTTAATATTTCTAATATTTCAATTTTCAATTTAATCTTCCATCAAGAATTTTATCGTTCGTTGCAATCAGCTTTTGTCAATTCATCATATTATCGAGTATGTCAACTCCGAGCAGTTAATCTACTTACAGATACGAGAAGCCACATGTAATTAAAAGATTACACGCGTTCATTAAACGATCTTTCAAAGATATCATATGCTTGAAAAACATGTTTATTTAACCTTCAAATTTTCAAAGTAAAACTGCTAAATGCGAAGTTCTTGAGAAAAAAGCATATCGTCGATCTTAACCCGATTTCACGTATGAATGAGATGCACTTAATTAATCAGAAAGCTGGCAGTTTTGGGTTTACTGACGGACACAGGTCTTTTCATTGAAAAAAGATTCCCTTGGGACGTTAAACATTCGTCGAATTTGTTAGGACGCCACATGCGAGTAAAAGAAGTATACATCTTTCTTTAGGATTCGTTACATTGAGAATGATTGAATGGAACTTCCATTCATCTCTTCTGTTCTTCAGTTTCCTTAAAGGTTCTTCGTTTCTACGAAGGATACAGAACGCTTTGCAATTGTTCTCTTCTTTTCAGCGGAAACTCATTCAACCAGCCTCTTGTATCTATAATCGCTCTCTCATTGTGGAATTTTTGTCACTTTTATATAGCACTGTCATTCTCTTATTAAGCATGTGGACTTGCTTCCTCGGAAGGAATTGAAATTCATTGTTTAGCCATCGATAGTTCTCTTAAAGGTCACTTCCTTGAATTGGTTCTCGTTTACTCGAGGTATTAAAATATTACCGCGGTGCAATTTAAAGTTATTACCGAGAATGCAATAATATCACTTTACGTAACTTCTGATAATCTCTGATAATTCATCGGTAATCAAAATGAATCTACAGATTCCTTCTCATAAATTAACATCTAATAACTCTAATAACATTTATTGCAGTAATTTTAAAGGACGTTTCTATTGATAAACATTTAAAAGACACGTCCGAAATATGCAACTTTGCACGGAGATTAAATAAGTCATGCCCTTGTTAAAGCTTCTTTAAGTTTTCTTCGACATTCCAACGTATCGCTGCTCTATCTCGATAAACACACAAAGAACCTCCTTTAGAACAATCGATCATATGAAATCACCTGTCTCGAGGGTATAATAGAAGCACCTCTAGCCTTCGTTTCAATAATAAATTACCAACGTAAGCCATATACGATTGTAGCCAACAATAAATATCGATAACAATCCTTCTAACGTGTTACGCCTATAAAAAAAAGCTTCAAGATAATTTTCTCTCTATAAGTATCAAGCTTCACTACCACTGACAAATAAACTTTTCCAGATACTCTAGCCAAACAAAAAGCAACCTGATCGAAGCGTTTCTGATTAAAGTCACTGGATTCGAATAAATTGTTTTCACTGTTTCTTCACGAAGATTTACAGAAATTTGAAGGTATATACACTTACCGAGGACGCAAAACGTAACCAGGATCCAATGTATCAACTCGTTCATCGCGTCGATCGTTCCAGCGACGACTGGCAGGCGCAAAATAAAAGCGCGGCAGAGACGCGCGACCAGGATGAAATAAAAACGCGAACGTACGTTTACAGGTTCTGTTTTCGATTTGCGTCAAGCGTACGCCTCTCACCTATATTTAGGCGGCACTGCAATAATAGCACCGACCACGTTGAGGAAGGGAGGAACTGGAGAACGGCGAGCAGAGGAACGCGGCGTTCCGGTAGCGGAATTCAAATCGCTAACAGCCTGCTTGGACCAATCAGCACCGTTTCCCTTCCTCTTCCGGTACCGAGTCCACCATTCACGCAACTTTCTTCGAAACTACTCGATTCTAACGCGTCTTCCACGATTCTTTTATCTCCAGGAAAGAGAAACCTTTTATCTGAAAATTACGCGTGAATATTTCACTCTCGAGTAAAGATAAAATTAAACCAACAATCTTGATCTTCGTTAAACAAATAACGTCGAACACAGTAACTTAGAACAAAAACCAACGAACAAACTGAGAGAAACACTGAACAACGGGGAACAATCGTTCACTAAGAACCGCGCAATTCGAACTAAAATCTCCCTTCTCGACACTGGAGAACAGTTTCCCTATATACAATCCGTGCCTCAAATTGTCACACACTCGAAACTCTCTCGAGTTCTTTAGTTCTGCTCGATCTTGCAGAGGAGTCGCGCCACCACGAGGAAACTTGAACCGGGAGAGACACTCCTCGTTATTCCAGGACACCGAGTATGAGAACAGTTGGTGTATACTCGAGGAGGAGGAGGAGGATTTCAACGAGGTTTCAGCGGACAAACATATTCGTGCACGTCGGAGTTTGTCTGGAGCGCTTGTTTGAACGATGGAGAAACGAAAGGCAGGAGGGCGACTGATTCACTCTCTAATTCTCTGTCTCGCTCCCGGATCGTCTCCTCCGTCCGCACTCCGCCGCTGCCGCCTCCGTCACCTACTCCACTGACATCGACGTCGGTTCCGTCGTCGACGAACTCTCTTCCCCTTCTACAGTACCATTTGTCGTCTTCTCGATGCCAGCGAGGATTCGCGATATTTTTGAATCCTCGTCGACAGAGGTGACGACGTATGTACATGTACATTCATGAAGGAAGATATGGAAACGTGTGAGTGCCGAAGAGGCTGGAGGGAAAACAAACAGCGACCCTCTGCCACATCGCGATGGTCTTTCGATTTTTCTTTTATTTCTGACATCTGTTTTCTAAGCAGGTTGGAATTTCATGGGTTTTCTGATGTATGGGTGCGTGTAACGAGAAGCTTCTGTGATTTATTAGTTCGATGAAAGTTTGTATTTCTTTATAGGGTATTTAAATTGAATTTTTTTCTTTGGTGTGGTGAATTAGAGAATTTTCTAAAAATTTCTGTTGTTCTGTATTTTATTATGACTTCAAATGTACGTAGATGTAATATTGAGTCTGATTTGCTCGACTTAATGCTGTGCATGAACTTCGAATCGATTAATAATTAACCAAGCAACGTGTTCAGTGCATGGGTCATTTCTGATTGGTTATTAACAGTGGCCAGGGGCATGACCATTAAGAGGATTCAGCCACCCATCAAGCGGATTTGTTACTTCGAAGTCAATTGACATTCTCCATCCCCCCTGGACCTAATTAGCGCGTGAAGCAGCTGTGTCTGATTTGCATTATTGAACAATAATTCTAATGACCGTTGGTATTGGCAATACCCATCGAGGGGCGAATGGAGAATCTGCTTTGTGCATGATCGTCTCTGTTCTTTCTGTTCCTGTTCTAGCCACTGTTATCGGGCAGAAATTGTAACGTGAAATTGTCACGAGTTTCTGACGTCAATTAACGAATATCATTTGCAAACAGAGATTGCTAAATGCTACTGCAAAATTTTCAACTGTATGTTTCTAGAAAAAAACAAAAAACTGCGAAAATCTGCATAAGCAAATTGCTGAAATAAATCATGGTATGATTAAAGTATTATCATCATTTATTTATTTCACTGATCATGACAAAGTAATAATCACATAAAGCTGTTAAAAGTAAAACCCCCGTTATCACTAAATCGTGTACTATATTTACAAGTATTAATTATAGTTCGCGTCCGTCGAATGCTCGCGCGCGACGCGTTCATCGTTTTCATTTATTTTCTTCTTTTTTTTTCTTATTTATTCATCATTCACCTGTTCTCCTATCTCTCCATTCTCTCGACCAACGATAAATATATAATATATATAATTTTTTTCTTTTCCCTTTTACTCTTTTTTTTGTTTCTTCTTTACCGGCGTCGTCTGTACCACTCTGCTTACAAAAATTAGGTATGTAAAGCTAAGAAACTGTTTCTATCTTTCACGGTTCTTTGACAAAAGCGCGTGTCACGTGGTGTAACAGACAATTAAGGAAACCAGCGAAAGTTCCGTACCTAAGAGCAACACCTTCCACCTTCGATAAAACAGCATTTTACTTAGGATTTCTGGAAGCCGATTATCGCATGGGCGAGAAATTGTGAATATGATTATTTTTCAACGTCTGCTCATTTACAGGAATCCTAAGACGATTTTACAACTAAACAAACCCAAAAATCCTGCCTTCTTCTCCTGTTGTCCCTCTTTTTCAGTCAAACCACTCAAGGAATTTACTCGAGATACGGGACTTAGGTAGTGCTTGGGTTTGTTTAGTTGTAAAATCGAAAAATAATAATGTCTACGATTTCTCGCCCACGTGGTGACCGGCTGTCGAAAAATCCTAAGTAAAATGCTGTTTTATCGAAGATGGAAGATGTGCTCGGGTAAGGAACATTCGCTGGTTCCCTTTATTGCTCTAAAGGTCTACCGGTACACACTAGAACGACGTCTGTTACGCATGTGACATGCACGTACAAATTGTCGCTCTCTTTTTCTTGTGGTTTTTTTTCCTCTTTTTTCTTTCTCTCTATTCACTCTTTTTCTCACGCTATGTCTCTCTCATACGATACTTCACTCTCTCTCACTCTCTCGCTCATCTCTCTTTCTCTCTAACCCCTTTCTGGCGTAAGAAACGATATTATTGGTACCCAAAACCCCGTTTAATGAAAATCCTTCAAATAAAATACTCTAGTTAACAATAAATTATTAAATATCTATTCACAAATATATGCATAGGCTAATTATCGTTTATTACTATCTTCATCACCGTCAATCTATCCTCCATCCCCTCGTCGTCGTCGCCGCCGTCGTCATTTAATTGTCGGCTCTCCCCGTTTATTCTACGTATATTATCAATTTACACAGGACCAACGGCCAACGTTTTTCCCTGTCGTTTTCTTCTATTCCTCTTTTTTCTTTTTCTCTTTATTTTTTTTTCTTTGCTCGTG